GAAATATTTATAGGTCTTTGTGCCTGCCTAGCAGTCCTTTAGGCACCTGAGCAGTCCTTAGCGGTCCGGCAACTCATCGAAAGCATAAATTCTATCACCAAAATTATATTTTTTTCTTACAATAATACATTTTTGTCTATTAACTTACTACCATATATGATAAGAATGTTCTAGAAGGGATTTGAAGGTCCTTTGTGCCTCCCTAGCAGTTGTTAGTGCTCCTGAGGAGTCCTTAGCGGTCCGACAACTCTTCAAAAACATGAATTTTATCACTATAATGATATTTTTTCTTAAAATTATACATTTTTTGTCACTAAACAATAACATACTACCATGAATTATAAGAATGCCCCAACAGTTATTTTAAGGTCCTCTGTGCCTCCCTAGGAAATATTTATAGGTCTTTGTGCCTGCCTAGCAGTCCTTTTCGCACCTGAGCAGTCCTTAGCGGTCCTGCAACTCATCGAAAGCATAAATTCTATCACCAAAATTATATCTTTCTTACAATAATACATTTTTGTCTATTAACTTACTACCATATATGATAAGAATGTTCTAGGAGGGATTTGAAGGTCCTTTGTGCCTCCCTAGCAGTTGTTAGTGCACCTGAGCAGTCCTTAGCGGTCCGACAACTCTTCAAAAACATGAATTTTATCACTATAATGATATTTTTTCTTAAAATTATACATTTTTTGTCACTAAACATACTACCATGAATTATAAGAATGCCCCAACAGTTATTTTAAGGTCCTTTGTGCCTCCCTAGGAAATATTTATAGGTCTTTGTGCCTGCCTAGCAGTCCTTTAGGCACCTGAGCAGTCCTTAGCGGTCCGGCAACTCATCGAAAGCATAAATTCTGTCACCAAAATGATATTTTTTTCTTACAATAATACATTTTTGTCTATTAACTTACTACCATATATGATAAGAATGTTCTAGGAGGGATTTGAAGGTCCATTGTGCCTCCCTAGGAAATATTTATAGGTCTTTGTGCCTGCCTAGCAGTCCTTTAGGCACCTGAGCAGTCCTTAGCGGTCCGGCAACTCATCGAAAGCATAAATTCTGTCACCAAAATTATATTTTTTTCTTACAATAATACATTTTTGTCTATTAACTTACTACCATATATGATAAGAATGTTCTAGGAGGGATTTGAAGGTCCTTTGTGCCTCCCTAGCAGTTGTTAGTGCACCTGAGCATTCCTTAGCGGTCCGACAACTCTTCAAAAACATGAATTTTATCACTATAATGATATTTTTTCTTAAAATGATACATTTTTTGTCACTAAACATACTACCTTGTATTATAAGAATGCCCTAGGAGGTATTTTAAGGTCCTTTGTTGCCTCCTTAGCAGTCTTTTGTGTATCTGAGCAGTCCTTAGCGGTCCGACAACTCATAAAATTTTCACCAAAATCATATTTTTTCTTAAAATTATATTTTTTTTTTCACTAAAAATAATACCATGTAATGTAAGAATGGCCTAGGAGGTATTTTAAGGTCCTTTTTGCCTCTTTAGTAGTCCTTTGTGGCTCCTTAGCAGTCCTTAGCGGTCCTTAGCAGTCCTTAGCAGTGTTTAGTAGGACCCAAAATTATCGGTCAAAAGGCAAAATTATTTTTGAACCTTGAAATCTTGGCCTAACAAATATTTTTTCTGAAATTTCACAAGCCCTCTTGATGTACGTCATCAAGAGGGCTTGTAGATATTTTGTTTATTTTTCCTATAAAATTACGAGCAGAAAAGAACTACTTGAAGACATTGATTTATAACAATTACATAATAGTGACGAGTTGATCAGAAGTAAAGGACGAGTTGACCATATTAGGGACGAGTTGAGTCTTTGAGGACAAGATGACCAAAAGTAGGTGACTAGATGATCAAAAAGGTGACGAGTTGACCACACGACAATTCGGCCACAGGACGAGTTGACCGGATTGCCTGACAATACATGAGATTAAGACATTTGTTTCTACCTTTTCCAACTAATTATACTAGTACTACCATGTGGGGAAAATTGTGCTGTTTTATGTATGGGCAATATCTCCCCCATATGTACATGTACAAGATAATACAAACTTTCTCTTTTCTTTTCTCTTAAAAATTCCAAATTTATATCAGACGTTACAGGCTTGTTATAGTTTATGTCGGTCAAGCCGGATGTCTAATAGTTATTGCTCATAAACACATAGCATCATAAGAAGAAAAAAAGTCTATTGTCTTTCCTTTCAAGCTTTATTCAAAAGTTTATCTACTTTTCTTTCAAAGATTTTATTGAATATCACGAAAACCTCATCAATTACAGTAGATATATTAATTTTTGGCATTTGATAATCTTAAGTTTCTTACTCTGACTGGAAATCGCAGATTTTAATAATAAAAAGTGTATGCGAAAATACAAAGAGAAATAAACTTGAAACATTTTTAAATCATTTTTATAAACAATATAAATGTAATACATTTTGTATATTTGTGATAAATTTTTTATCTTGATTACTTTTAGTGGGCATTGAAAATTTCTTTTAATGATGAAGTGCATAGACCACTCCAGATTTATAAGCTGTTTTATGTTGGTGTTCAATTGCCAGCTGATCCATCTATAAGTTTAGTGTTAAAAATCATATATTTATGCCGTTATCTAAAAAAAATGCATTGTTAAATTTTCATGAAATTATGTAAAAACATGTACCATTTAGATACACTAAAGGACTGTTCATCATGCCAGTTGGCCTTTATTTCTCTTACTGACAATGATTGCTAAAATTTGCTATGGACAAAAAAAAATATAAAACCTTTAAAAACAATGAATCAATATGACAAAGCGGCAATCAGTGAGCAAACTATTTGGACAAAAGTATAATGTAGGGCTAATCTTCAGTTGTTGGTTTTAGCTTGACTATTTGCAGAATACTCAAGCTAATGCAGTCACCCATTTGTCGGCATCCCTGTGGTTAAGTTTTTATGTGTGGGCTGGTACCCTAAAATTACTGAAGGGAATGGATTGAAACTTCACACACTAACTTGTTCTAACATGGGCATAACTCTGTCAGAGTTACCTTTTTACAGTGTAATGTCAATTTCTTTACAGTCAACCACTGAGAATAGTCATAACTCATAAGTCCCATAACTGTTATTTGCTTTTTTTGCGTATTTAAGCCCCTTGGTTGACTTAAAAAATTCTTGGTTAAGTTTTTGCGTGTAAGCTGGTATCTCCATAACTAAAGAAGGGAGTTGATTGAAACCTCACACGCTTCTTCTCTATATTTATCTAACAATATTAGCTCAAGTCCCATAACTCTGATTTCCTTTTTATATGCCCGAAAGAATTTCGGGCATATTATGTAACACCCCCTGGCGTCCGTCTGTCTGTCCGTCCACACTCACAGGACAGTAATTATGTGGCTAGAGGGACAATAGGTAACTGTTCTTTCTCTTTGATGTCATTCATTCCGTAATGCTTTTATGTGGCTATTTTCTTTTGTGTAAATAATAAAAAGTAAGAAAATGTTTATCAAGTGAAAAGCTTTCATTATTTGTTTTAAAACAGCCCACAGCAGTATCTTGACACCTTAAATGGCAAAAATTTTCGACAAGCGGTACGGGGGTCATGACCCCCTCCCGCACCCACCCCCGTCTTATTGAAAAAATGTAGCGCTTAAAAAAAATCCTGGGGACTTCCCTGACCCCTATTGATTTTGGGGTCACAAGGTCAAAGGTCACTATCACCTTTAAACTAAAAACAGTTTCCGGAGCATAACTTAAGTTCCATTTGGCCGACAGTGTTCAAACTTCATAGAATGATTGTCCATATTGGGTAGAAGAGCCCTATTGATTTTGGGGGTCAAAGGTCAAGGTCACTATTACTTTAAAACTGAAAACAGCTTCTCTAGCATAACTTAAGTTCCATGTGGCCTACAGTGTTCAAACTTCATAGGATGATTGTCCATATTGGGTAGGAGACCTCTATTGATTTTTGGGTCACAGGTCAAGGTCACCATTACCTTAAAACTGAAAACAGTTTCCGGAGCATAACTTAAGTTCCATTTGGCCCACAATATCCAAACTTCATAGTATGATTGTCCATATTTGGTAGGAGACCCCAATTGATTTTGTGGTCATACGGTCAAAGGTCAAGGTCACTATTACTATAAAACTGAAAACAGTTTACGGTGCATAATTTAAGGTCAATTTGGCCCACAATATTCAAACTTCATAGGATGATTGTCCATATTGGGTAGAATACCTCTATTGATTTTGGGGTCACAAGGTCAAAAGTCAAGGTCACTATTACTTTAAAACTGAAAACAGTTTCCGGAGTATTACTTAATTTCTATTTGGCCCACAATATTCAAACTTTATAGGAGGATTGCTATTGGAAGGAGGTAATATTTAATTTATGTAATGTCTTACAAATGCTTCATCCTTAATAAAAAAAACACTTTTTCATATAATGATTATGCTCCGCCTAGTGGTGCTCTTGTTTGCATATTAATGCCCCTTTTTTGACTTAGAAATTATTGGTAATGTTTTTGCGTGTAATAGAAATTATTGGTTAAGTTTTTGCGTGTATCTCCAAAACTACTGAAGGGAATGGATTGAAACTTCAGATGCTTCTTCTCTTTGATTATCAAACATGATTAGTACAAGTACCATAACTCTGATTTGGTTGCATAATTAAGCCCCTTTTCAACTTAGAACTTATTAGTTAAGTTTCTTGTGTGTAAGCTAGTATCTCCATAACAACAGTTCTGAAGGGTTTGTGCCTTTTTTGTGACAATTTTCTGCTTTCATAAATAATACAGCAGTGATTTACTCGATAAGATATTTCTATGTTTCTAGACATGTGTTGTTTCAGGAGACAAGTAAAAAAGTCACTGTAATGCAAAGAAAAATATATGTTTACAGCTGTAAGTTGGTACTCATTGTAATATTTACTTCTCCCTATTTATTATTTGTCTTATATGTTTGTTTTAATTTGAATTTTTTTTTATATTTCATATAGACTGATGACAGAAGGCAGTATACACTAAGCAGTTTTGGATTCTTGAAACATGGGACACTTACTGTCAATGTTACAAACTTTGTCTTCCCACAAGCCGCTGCGAGGGTTAACAACAGAACAGTATGATCGTTAAATATTATTTCTCATAATTCTTTTTTTAAAGTATCATGCCATAAGATTTAATAATGCTATTTTTCATGAAAATTTTGAAAATGTTCTTAGCAGTAAAATGTTGTGAAGGGAACATTTTAAGAAAGAGATTTACATATTGGCAGTTTGCAAATGGCACTTACAATCCATTTAAATTACCAAGAAGAGGTAAAAATGTGCACATTTAGCATGAACTCCTTCACTCACAAAGTTTGTTTGTTTGGTTGATTGGGTTTTACATCACACCAACACAGTATAGGTCATTTGGCAACATTCCAGCTTTACTGGTGGAAGACCTCAGGTGCCCTTCCGTGCATTATTTCAGGCACAAATGGACACCTAGGTAGAACCACCAATGTTCCTTAAGCTAGCTGGGTAGCAAAGTCCCTGTGCGGATTCGAACCCACAGCGGTGAGGGGGCAAGTGGTTTGAAGCCAACGACCTAAAACACTCGGCCACAGACGCCCTAGTCACGAAGTAGAAATATGGTAATTATACTGATGTATACTGCAAAATTTGTCATTAATCGCACATAACATGTAAAATAACACTTGAATCTTTTTACTTTTCTTAAAATCATCTTGCCGGCATGCAGCTTTAATGTTTGCTCATTTTGCAGACATGCAGCTTTAATGTTTGCTCATTTTGCAGACATGCAGCTTTAATGTTTGCTTATCTTGCTGGCATGCAGCTTTAATGTTTGCTCATCTTGCTGGCATGCAGCTTTAATGTTTGCTCATCTTGCCGACATGCAGCTTTAATGTTTGCTCATTTTGCAGACATGCAGCTTTAATGTTTGCTTTTCTTGCTGGCATGCAGCTTTAATGTTTGCTCATTTTGCAGACATGCAGCTTTAATGTTTGCTTATCTTGCTGGCATGCAGCTTTAATGTTTGCTCATCTTGCCGGCATGCAGCTTTAATGTTTGCTTATCTTGCCGACATGCAGCTTTAATGTTTGCTTATCTTTCAGACATGCAGCTTTAATGTTTGCTTATCTTGCAGGCATGCAGCTTCAATGTTTGCTTGTCTTGCCGTCATGCAGCTTTAATGTTTGCTTATCTTGCAGGCATGCAGCTTTAATGTTTGCTTGTCTTGCCGTCATGCAGCTTTAATGTTTGCTTATCTTGCCAGCATGCAGCTTTAATGTTTGCTTATCTTGCCGACATGCAGCTTTAATGAAGACTGGTGCTAGAGGCATACAGCTTTAAGTTTAAGCAGTACATAAATTTAGAAATATAACTCCAACAGAAAAAAATGATTTATAAAGTATTTATGTTGTTACTTAATCAAGGCATTATTATTTTATCTTTTACAGTTTGGTTTTACAATAGATGTAAGCAGTAACACAGGTTCCAGCGGATATATGGTAAACTTATTTTAACGTTATTAGTGCTAAAATTTAACACTTTGTCACTTGTAAAATAGGATTTAAAGCTGACTTGTAAAATCGGACTCAAATAGGAAGAAAATCGTTGCAAGTAAAGATGAAATATATATTTCTATTATTTAATGTTTTGTTTTGTTTAATTAAAGAACTAAAGGCACACTATAAAGAGTTGAAATCTAGGCTAGATAGGATTAAACAAATTACTCTATGGAAGTTGTAGTGGTCCCATTGACAATTTGAAATCTTGTGAAAAAATTATCTTACTTTTTTTTTCTATGTTGTATGGCCTAATATTGAGCATGTATATGGCCTTATACACGTATGTATTAAGATGTTTTACAGATTATATGACCTTATAGATATTGTTGTTTATATAAAACCAGATAATCTGTCAAGAATTTTTATAAGGAATATATGATAAAGCAATTATTTGAGTAAAAAAATGAAATACATATAAACATTATAAAGATTAAATTAAAAACAGTTGTGTATATAGTTTATATAATGATTTTTCAATGAAAAGCAGCGTTACAAATATGCAGTATTATAAAGTTGATTTGAACATGACTTTTTAGTGGAGTTTGAACTAACACTGAACTTTTCTTTAATAAAATAGAAAAAAAAATTATATCCCCAGTGTAAGAAATTAGGATTTGAATCGACTAGGCTGGGCGGACTACTAGATCGGAATATTCACTAGTCCAAAAGACATTTCACTAGCACAATTCATTTGTTCAAAACAGTTATTTATAATGCCTCTGAAAATACAGTAGCCTGGTCGGGCTTGTTACTGTGAAAAGTTGGTAGCCCAAGGGGAAATTTAGTAGTCAGGGGCTATCGGACTACTGCTAATTTCGAACACTGTATCCCTAAAGAACGCCCATAATGACAAAATTGAAAATATTGCACACTCAGTTTGATTTAAAAGCAGGCACTATTTATACAATTATTATGTACGAATACTGGAAAGTCAAAACTGGGCATTTTTTTGTAATAAATATTATTGTTAAATGGCTGTTACATAAAATTAAGTTTTGTCGATCCGGTTATGTTGAATATTATTAATATTACAGGAAGACTATAAAGATGATTGCATTTTGAGAACCACGGATGACCAGCCTATCATCTTCTTCAGAATGGACTTTCAAACCAATAAGTATGTTTTTTTTTTATTAGCTTGACTATTCAAAGATTAAGTCAAGGAGAGTGATTGCACTCACTTTGGTGTCGATGTCAAACGTTAGTTAAATTTTTTTGCCACGCAAGTTGGTATCTGCAAAACTTCTGAAGGGAATGGGTTGAAACTTCACACACTTGTTCTCTGTGATAAACTCACATAATGGGCACAGGTCCCATTACTCCAGTTACCTTTTTAATTGAGTTATGCCCCTTTTCTTACTGTCAAAGCAAAGAAAAGTCAAGCTTGTTGTCTAACGGACACCGCTTGTTTTGTATCGTTTAGCCAAAAGCTTTGTAATTGCATCAAAGTTTCATTCAGGTGCAATGTTAACAGTATCATTTTAAGTGTAGTGGGGTTTCATATAGCCATTCCCCTTTTGCGACTCTGAAAAACTTGTATTGCATCGCTATGCATATTTTAATGTGGCCTCATTTGTGTTAAACAAACATATTGTAAAGGCATGCTTAAATGGTAGTATACACTGAGTGACTCAGTGAAAACAAAAAGGATTGTTTTACTGTAAACATTTCTTATTTTTTTGTATGCTTTAAATAGAATATTATATTTTTGAAGCTTTATTACAAAAGTTATTTAACAATAGAATAATATTCTTGCCAGAGGCTAGCACAATATAATTGTTTTTCAAGTCATTTAATATATTCATTATTGAACCATTACTAATTCAGTAACCTCTGTGTTGTGTATAACTCTATTACTCATTGGTCAAGATTTTTTACTAATAAACGCGGCCTACTAACCTTATCAAAACATGCCAAGCTCTATATCTAATCAGTTAATAAATGTTAGTTCAGCATTATAGAGATTTTAAGAAAACTTAACACTCTATTTCTCAAATATGATTGTTATATTTATTTCATTCATATCTAATGCTGCATGAAATTAATATATTGAATAAATAAAGATTTTTAACCAGGTTTTCCGAAGGAAAAACTGGTTATTAGATTGAGGTATGTCGGCGGGCGGATGGGCGGACGGGCGGTGGGCGGGCGGGCGGGCGTAAACAATTTCTTCTGTGCGCAACTCCTCCTACATTTCTCAACGGATTTTGACCAAACTTTCACAGAAGCTTTGTCATCAAGTGCCCTGGCGCATATTGTCGGGGTTTTGCGATAAGATAATATTTGACCTAATTATGGCCCTTTGTTTTTTTTCCTTATATAAAATATATAGTGAACAATTTCTTCTGTGCACAACTCCTCCTACATTTCTCAACGGATTTTGACCAAACTTTCACAGAAGCTTTGTCATCAAGTGCCCTGGCGCATATTGTCGGGGTTTTGCGATTAGATAATATTTGACCTAATTATGGCTCTTTGTTTTTTTTCCTTATATAAAATATATAGTGAACAATTTCTTCTGTGCGCAACTCCTCCTACATTTCTCAACGGATTTTGACCAAACTTTCTCAGAAGCTTTGTCATCAAGTGCCCTGTCACATATTGCCAGGGTTTTGCAATTGGTATATATTTGACCTAATTATGGCCCTTTGTTTTTTTTCCTTATATAGAATATATAGTGAACAATTTCTTCTGTGCGCAACTCCTCCTACATTTCTCAACGAATTTTGACCAAACTTTCTTAGAAGCTTTGTTATCAAGTGCCTGGCACATATTGTCGGGGTTTTTGTGATTGGATAATATTTGACCGAATTATGGCCCTTTGTATATTTTTTCCTTATACAGAATATATAGAGAACAATTTCTTCTGTGCTCAACTCCTCCTACATTTCTCAAAGGATTTTGACCAAACTTTCTTAGAAGCTTTGTTATCAAGTGCCTGGCACATATTGTCGGGGTTTTGTGATTGGATAATATTTGACCGAATTATGGCCCTTTGTATATTTTTTCCTTATACAGAATATATAGTGAACAATTTCTACAGTGCGCAACTTCTCCTACATTTCTCAATGGATTTTGACCAAACTTTCACAGAAGCTTTGTCATCAAGTGCCCTGGCGCTCACTAAATTCCCATGTTTCTTCCAAGACATCATTCAAGTATTTTTTTAAAATTGTGAACATACTTTTCTTGATATCGCACAAAACACCAAACGCCAATATTGTTGACAAAAGAAAATGACAAGAGACGCAAAAATGCAAAAATTAAGCAAAAATAAAGTACTGTTTACCTTTCTAAAATATTTGGGAAAAAAAGGCGAATAGACAACATAAAATTTCTCAATCATTTTTGTTTGAGGAATATTAAAAAAGCCATAATTCCTCCTAAAAGTTCAATTAAAAACAAATGCCCCTTCATGACAAAGCTTCTGTGAAATATTTTGCTGAAAACCTGGTTGCATCGCATTGCGATGTTCCTTGTTTTTCATTTTGCAATGAAGGTTGTTGATTGAAAGGAGAGGTAAGGAGTTACAGAACATCATTATTAGTAATCAGACTATCGAAGCCTTCTGGAAAACACACAATATGGCTCGTAGAGAGGCGCAGAAATCCATACCTTCTGCTCTAAGCGATACCTACCTCTTTAATGGCCGAACTTCTGGTGCGAGAGAAAGGAGGGAAGTCATGAATCCTGAACCTGTACCAAAAGCAAACCAGTTAGACGATAAAGGTATGTTTATGTCCCCTTTTAGGGGGTGGGGTGGGGGGGGGGGGCTAGGGGCATACAAAACTGTCTTTGTCAATCCGTCTTATACTGACAAACCAGTGGAAAATGAATGCTTCTCTGTCCTGTAGACACATTCTAGTTCTAACTATATTTAATTATTTATGAATATTGAATTGTTGTTGTTTGTTTGTTTGTTTTCTTCCAAAAAAAAATGGTATATGTATTTCTTGCACAGAAGAATTACTCATAAAAATGGGTCAGTTATTATAGTAATTATATGGTGAATATCTGTACCAAGATTTGTTTTCTGCTTAATTCTTTTTGTACAGGGGCTTTGTTATAGTAATTTATTAACAGACTATTTATTATGATGCATATTCATTATATTAAAGCAAATTTAATTAATTAAGTCTTCTTGTCAGCATATGAGTTATGATTCATAATGATAGCCTTGGCGTCATTGTGGTTGTTGTTGTTGTCGTCATGCAAAGACCTTAATGTGCCCATTAATTTTTCAAACAATATTGTCAGTGTGCATGTGTTGGACAAAGGGGCATAATTTTGAAATCCACTTTTGGAGTTATGCCCCTTTTTACCTTAGAATTTTTGTCCAAGTAGTTCTTTTAAGCAGACAAACGTTAACATATCTCTTGTGTAAAATTATAATGCTAAGAGCTTAGAATCATTTCTAAATAAATATCTGCAAATATTAAAAAAAAATGCAGCTTGGATAAAAAATGACAAACACTATGTGACATCATTGATTTAAACATTGGAAAACTTAAAGATTATAACATTTTCTAGCAAAATATCACAGATGAGCTGGACAAGTCTTATTCAAGCATTATATAGCATGTTAGGGGTTAATTGATTGAGTGCCTCTGTCCCCCTGTCATGTCTTCTCTAATCTGGCATCCTATAAGATTATTTTTATCTTCTTACAGATAACACAACCACTGCTGCATCAGAAAGCACTACTGTTGCCAAGGTGACCACACCAGTGCCAGCAAAGACCAAGAAGCCAGCATCTGTACCTTCACCAATCATCAATGAGGTACCAATGGGACAGAATAAAGAAATCTATTCATTCTATGTAAGTCTCCATATCTTTACAGTGAATACTAAGACTTTCTGCTATCTAACAGACAACTTTAAAAAGTTCCCAGTTAAAAGAAAAAAATCATAAGTTATTAATTAGGAATTTTAACCTTAACCTTGCTGGTGGCACAAACTGAATCTACCCATGCAGCCAGTGCAGACCAAAACTAGCTGGCGCATCTGTCTGATCATGGTCTGCACTGGCTAAAGCTCCCTGGAAAGAGACTATATATTCGCTGCTTTGTTCATCCGTCCAGCAGTCACTTTTCTAAAATTTATTTAAACCATTGTGGCTGAGGTGTTGCCTTTAAATTGTTGAGGCATCAGAATTGCAGCCACTGTTTATCCTATCATGATCATCAAAGAAGACTAAATGGGTTTGAATAACTGGAGTCTATGAATCTCTTAGCTACAGCAGGTGAGGCGGTTTTGACCCCTGTTGATGCTTTAAATTTGTAACATCTGAGGATAGCCAAAATCATCTTTCCTGTTTCGGCATTATATTACTTAGATTGTGTTGGTACACCGTAAAACCAAACAAAATAAACAAAACCATGTAAAATTTACATGTTTTATGCCCCCCCCCCCCCACCATAAAATGGCTGGGGCATATAGTATAACTCTGTTCTGTCATTCGGTTATCATCAGTTTCCGTTCATTATTTTGGTAATGGTTGCATACATTCAACTCAAATTGGACATAATGGATATGTCATAGGAAAATGCACAGGTCAGGTTCGTATTTTGGTTATGGTTCAATGATTTTTTTGTCAGAGATATGCCCCCTTACTTTGAGAAAAAGGGAAACTTTCAGTGTTTGTCCATTATCTCCCCAACAGTTGTACATGTTCAACTCATATTTAAGATATGGATATATCATAGTAATACACTGGTCAAGTTCAAATTTCTTCATGTTTTGTTCATTTCAGAGTTCATCCTCTTGAACTTTGAAAAAATTTTTTTTTTAGTTTCCGTTCATTATCTCCCCAACAGTTGTACACATGCAACTCAAATTTGACATGTATAGATATATCTCAGGAATAAGTTTGAATTTGGTCATGGATCGATGATGTTGGACAAAGTTTATCTTTCTTGAACGTTGGAAAAAATTTGAAATTTTCAGTTTCCGCAATCTTACTTTTGTTGAAGTATAAGGTTAAAATTGCATGTGCAAGTATTTAACCAGAACATACAAGGCGAGTTTGAATTTGGTTTTTGTAAGGTGATTTTGACAGAGTTATCCTTCTTGAACTGTTTCTGCTCTAACTTTTATAGGAATGTATGTCTGAGGTTGACATTGCATGTGCTGGTATTTTACTAGAAAATACAAGGCAAGTTCTAATTTGGTCATGGTCAGATGTTTTTTGACAGTTATCCCCCTTGAACTTGGAAAAGATTTAAAAATTCACAATTTCTAATCATTATCTCGGCTACAAATATGCAATTTGCAAAAGGTTGACACTGAATAGTTACAGGGCCTTGAACTTTGTATAAAAATGATTTGTGTTAAATATTGAATAGTTTTAAGGGCATTGAACTTAGAATGAAAAACTGGTTTGTGCAAACAAACTGGAAATAAAAATTATAACATTTGACATTTTGGCTGCATGCGGGGCATTCATGGTGTTTCAACACATTTCTCGTATTTACTATTTTCCTATACCTACTACAGTTTCTGCTGGCTGTGACAGACGAAGCACAGGAAGGCATGTACACCCTGAACTTTCACAACTGTGAGACCAAAAACAGTGAAAATACAGTCTCTTATTCAGTAAGTACTATAAATATTTGAGCCGTGTCACGACAAAACCAACATAATGTGTTTGCGACCAGCATGGATCCAGACCAGACTGAGTATCCGTGCAGTCTATTCAGGATCAATGCTGTTCATTTTACAAACCCTTTTACAAGTAGAGAAACTCTGATAGCGAACAGCATGGGTCCTGATCAGACTGAGCAGATGCGCAGGCTAGATGGATCCATGCTGGTCGCAAACGTACTATGTTGGTTTTGTCGTGACATGGCTCATAATTATATGCTTCAGAAATTCATATATTTGACATAATTTCATGATCCTATATGGATAGATTTGTGTTTGGGAATGAATGTTCATATAAGTCTTTGTGAAAAACTCTAAAATATAACTCAATAAACAGAAGCTTCTATTCCTGGATACAGCATAAATGTAGATGAGAGTTTTTTTACCTATTGTAAAAAATTACATTGATACTATAAATGAGTGATATTCAAGGTCAAATTTTCCAAATTCATGAAATTTCACTTTAACTCGAGTATAGTTGAAAATTCCATGTGCATTTGGTGGTATTTAACCATTTATTGACTCTCATATCATGTTTCTATCTTTAATTATAGATTAAATTTAGGACTCTGTATCATCATGTCTCTATATATTCAGATTGACATTAGATACTTTATCCCATAAACTGTGGCGCTTTGAGGTGACGTCATTTGCGCTATATATAAACATAGCGTTAAAGCGTGCAATGTTAGCGTTACTTTACGAGTCAATGAAAGATTACTCTTTTTATCTGTAAGCGGTTCTAATTTTGAATATGTGACAAATAGAATATTACATTGGTGTAGATTCAATACTAAATTTATTGAACTAGTGCAATAAAATAATATAATGCTCGCCAGAGGCTCACGTAATATTATTTTATTCAACTCGTTCAATAAATTTAGTATTTAACCTTCACTTATTCAATATACATGTACAGTGTCTATTCTAGGAGGGGCGATGGGGGGATTCACCCATATTTTTGAGAATTCACCCCTAGGTGGAGGGGGAAAATTTTACATAGACAAAGAAGGAAAAAGATCAACAAATGTAATAATCTCTCACTATTCGATAAAAATCCCCCCTATTTTTCGAATCCTAGAATAAACACTGCATGTACTCTATTTATAATACTGTTTCTATTACTTCAGATTGACATTGTAGAGGTGAACGAGAATGGTAACTATCTGTCGGCCAGTGTGATGCCGTTACCAACACTTTACTTTGCTCTCAGTTTATTCTATGTTGTCATGGCAATAGTGTGGAACACGGTGTTGTGTAAATCTGATGATACCGTATATAAGATGCACTATCTGATGTTGGTTGTGGTGTTCGTGAAGAGTTTATCATGCTTGTTTCATGCTGTGAGTATCATACTTAATGATGATGATGATGATGATAAATGATGATGATGATGATGATAATAATAATAATGATGATAATAATAATAATGATCATCATGATAATAATAATAATGATGATAATAATAATAATGATCATCATGATAATAATTATAATGATCATGATGATGATTATAATAATGATGATGATGATAATAATGATGATGATGATAATAATAATAATGATGATGATGATAATGATAATAATAATGAATGATAATGATAATAATAATAATAATAATAGTAATGATAATAAATGATGATGATGATAATAATAACTTTATTTACAGAAGGTAACATATTAAGACATGCAGATTGTAACACCTTCTTCTAAATTATAAAAAAATGAATAAATACAAAATTGACATGTTTGTATGATAACTGTGTTTGTTTATGAAATAATGGACAGAGAGGCACAGTTGGTCTTCCTCAACTAGCAATAAGCTAAGTGGTTATGGTAATTAACTTCAAAACTCTTGCCCCTCACTGCTTTGAGTTTGAATCCCACGAGGGATTGGATTTTTTTAGCTCGACTATTCGATAAGAATAAGTAGAGCTATTGCAGTCACCTGAGCGTCGGCGTCGGCGTTGGCGTAACCACTTATGTTAAAGTTTTTGTAATAGTTCAAATATTTTCAAAGTCCATAGACATATGGCTTTGAAACTTTGCACACTTGTTCACCATTATGACCCCAACCTGTAGACAGGAGGAGGTAACTCTATCAAGCATTTTGACAGAATTATGCCCCTTTTTCGACTTAGAATTTACGTTAAAGTTTTTGTAATAGTTCAAATATTTTCAAAGTCCATTGACATATGGCTTTGAAACTTTGCACACTTGTTCAACATCATGACCCCAACCTGTAAACAGGAGGAGGTAACTCTATCAAGCATTTTGACAGAATTATGCCCCTTTTTCGACTTAGAATTTACGTAAAAGTTTTTGTAATAGTTCAAATATTTTCAAAGTCCATTGACATATGGCTTTGAAACTTTGCACACTTGTTCACCATCATGACCCCAACCTGTAGACAGGAGGAGGTAACTCTATCAAGCATTTTGACAGAATTATGCCCCTTTTTCGACTTAGAATTTACGTTAAAGTTTTTGTAATAGTTCAAATATTTTCAAAGTCCATTGACATATGGCTTTGAAACTTTGCACACTTGTTCACCATCATGACCCCAATCTGTAGAAAGGAGGAGGTAACTCTATCAAGCATTTTGACAGAATTATGCCCCTTTTTCGACTTAGAATTTACGTTAAAGTTTTTGTAATAGTTCAAATATTTTCAAAGTCCATTGACATGTGGCTTTGAAACTTTGCACACTTGTTCACCATCATGACCCCAACCTGTAGACAGGAGGAGGTAACTCTATCAAGCATTTTTTTTACTATCAAGCACTAAGAATAGTTGAGCGTTGCTGTCCTACCGACAGCTCTTGTTATGTGATAGAATTATCCAGCTTGTTTACGGAATGTTGGTGGTTCTACTCAGATGCGGATTCATGCCAGAAATGATAGACCTCTACAGTTGGTGCTATGGTGCTATGTGGTTACTGATTATTTTCTATATGACCATAACAGTTTTAGTGTTAAGTAGTAAAATTTCTTTATCAATAATCATCAATGAATCAAACAGGTTTCTTGCATAGCAGCCTGGCGTTTCCGTGAGTTTTAATTGTGTCGGAAATTTCATCTGGAATGGGGGGTGCCAGATGAGTCAGGTGCCATACAACAATGTCATTTAAGCGCATTTTATGAATGAACCGCGTTAAAATGATGTCATTTTAGAAGGGAATTATGTGCATAGGATGATATCATTTCGCCGTTGTTGTAAATTCATACGCTTAAGTAAGAAGAGAGTTATGGATGAAATGGCTTTAATTTCCAGGATAGCAAGCCTCGTTACCACCCAATGGGTGGGGTCCCCTTGGGACAGATATTCTGATCTGAACCACAACATATGACAGATATTTTTAAGACGATGAAGTTTTAATAATATAGTACGTACTGGTGTTGTTATTTTCAGATAAACTACCATTTTATACAGAAGGAGGGTATTCATGAAGAAGCTTGGGCAGTACTGTTCTACATTGCCTATCTGTAAGTTGTATTTATTGTTCGATCTTTGAGGTATATTGAATAAACTGCAAGTCAATGTTGCCTGAAGTCTGCATAATAGTGGGATTGAATATATGTTGCTAGCTCAGATTCTCTTATAAGGCAGGACTATGAATAGAAATATCTTGTCCGGCTTTCACAGGTCAAACTCCTTGCAGGATTTCAATGAAACTTCACTTGAGTGATCAGTATCATCCCTAGTTGTGCATATCGCCCACAAGGTACGTTTTGCTGCACAAAATGGCGGACAAAGCTATTAATAGAAAGATCTTGTCCGGCTTTCACTGGTCAAACTGCTAGTTGGATTTCAATGAAACTTCCCAGGAGTGATCAGTACCATCCCTAGTTGTGCATATTACCCATACATTCCACTTGGTTTTTGATTTATTTAAGAACTTGAGGAGCACTTGTTGTTTGTAACAATCGTTCTGATTGGTGATATTTGATTTATTTCAGGACCAGAGGAGCCTTGTTGTTTGTTACAATCATTCTGATTGGTGCAGGATGGGCATTCATCAAACATGTACTGTCAGATAGAGAAAAGAAACTTTTCCTTATTGTTATCCCCCTACAGGTGATTATCTTGAAATGACCATAGTTGCTTTATGTCTTAGAAATAAATGTATTTCAAATTGTAATAAATATTTTTATTAAATGGCTTTATTACCTTGATTTGTGTGATAAATTTTATTATTACAGATTTTAGGCAATATGGCTGGATTATTTTAGAGCTCCTGTGCCTTGATTTATGTGATAAATTTTTGTTATTCCAGATTTTAGACAATATAGCGTGGATTATTGTAGAGGAAAGTGAGGAAGGGGAGTCACAGTATACAACATGGAAGGAGATTTTTATACTGATAGATTTGTTATGTTGTGGAGCTATACTGTTTCCAGTTGTCTGGTAGGTACAGAAATACTAGATTTGTTATGTTGTGGAGCTATACTGTTTCCAGTTGTCTGGTAGGTACAGAAATACTAGATTTGTTATGTTGTGGAGCTATACTGTTTCCAGTTGTCTGGTAGGTACAGAAATACTAGATTTGTTATGTTGTGGAGCTATACTGTTTCCAGTTGTCTGGTAGGTACAGAAATACTAGATTTGTTATGTTGTGGAGCTATACTGTTTCCAGTTGTCTGGTAGGTACAGATATACTAGATTTGTTATGTTGTGGAGCTATACTGTTTCCAGTTGTCTGGCAGGTACAGCAATACTAGATTTGTTATGTTGTGGAGCTATACTGTTTCCAGTTGTCTGGTAGGTACAGAAATACTAGATTTGTTATGTTGTGGAGCTATACTGTTTCCAGTTGTCTGGTATGTACAGAAATACTAGATTTGTTATGTTGTGGAGCTATACTGTTTCCAGTTGTCTGGTAGGTACAGATATACTAGATTTGTTATGTTGTGGAGCTATACTATTTCCAGTTGTCTGGTAGGTGCAGATATACTAGGGATATATGTTTGTTGAAAGGGGGAGTACACAACACGAAAAAGACCCCTTGGGGGCAAGTTTTCAGGTGTTTTCCTGAAATTCAGTTTTTTTCTACTCTTGAAACTGAAATTTTACTTAATTCAGGGTTTTTAGATTGTCTGATATTTTTAACTTGCACCCATGAAGATAATTTGGCTGGTTGTATCCTTTACATATAAGGGATGACCTCAGATATCCCATAGAGCATATTTTTAATCAAGCAGGCACATCAGTAGAACAATCAAATTTCTTCTAGCAAGCTGGATAGCTACAAGCATATAAAGCGCTCAAAAGTCCCTAGAGCAGTTTAAAATCTACACTGATGAGTCCAAACATAAGGCAATCATGATCAAGTAGGCTACCTGGTAAAGTTATACCAGTGCTAGTTTCCTTTGTGGAAGCAGGAGCATAATGCATTTCAGCGCTTGAATCTTTGATAATTTGTATGCAAATGAGACACTCTTACCTCTAAGTTACTGCTTTCCTGTGAAACTATAAGCATGTACTATATACAGTGCACTTACAGATTTAAAATCACAAGTTGTTGTTGCTTTAAAGTGTGATTGTAGAGATGATGAATTGAAATGATAAATGAAAGTTTTCTATCTGAATAACAGTTATAAATACATAAATTATTTCTATTTATAGGTCAATAAGACATTTGCAAGAGGCATCAAGAGCTGATGGCAAAGAAGAATTTAGTCTCACCAAATTGAAATTATTTAGACAGTTTTATATAATGGTAAGTAATGTGTATTTTTCCAAGTGTGTTTTACTTGTCTAAATTAGTGAGTTTAGATTTTAATGGTAAGAATTTTAAACATATATTTTTAATGCACATTTTATTACACATACTAAATGTCTTGTGTTTCTCGCATTTATTTCCCTTTGTTCAGGTTGCGTAAATTGCATTGAAAATCACACAGCTATTTCCCTTTGTTCAGTTTAAGTTAATTGTATCAAAAATAAAGTTGAATTTTTCTCATTCAGTTTGAATTTATTGAATTTGAAACAAGATGTATTTCCCTTTAGTCTGTTTGAATTTATTCCTTCGAAAATCAAGAGTAGTTTTCCTTAGCTCAATTTAAATATAATTCATTGAAAATCAACAAGTTATTTCCCATTGTTTAGTTTAAGTTTATTTCATTGAAAAATTAATTTGATAAAAAATCAAGAGGGATTTTTTCTTTGTTCAGTTTGAATTTATCTGATTTAAGAACAAGAGGTATTCACTTTCGTCTATTGATGTAGTAACTTAAAAAAATCAAATAATAAAATAGAAGATGAACAACATCACAAAAAAAGAAGCTTGAAATGTAATTATATGCTAAAGGCACACTTTATCATTAATATTGAAATTTTTGTACTTCAGATTGTGTGTTATATATATTTCACAAGAATTATTGTGTATTTATTAAAGGTAGGTGTTTTCTTTGCCCTTGTATAACTTTATTATGATTACATGTGTAAGTTTATGTGTATCAAGTGTAAGAATGATATTCAGTCAAGCCTGTGAACAAAGTCAACACGTAAAGCCGTCCGGTAAGCTCAATAGGTAGAGCGTTGGACTGTGAATCAGGCGACCCGGGTTCGATTCCCAGACGGCGCAGGTCACTTTCTTTGTGATTGATCATGAAATTCTTTCTACGGTCATTCGCACTGTACCTCTGCTCTGGCATGTACAGAATTTTCAGTTCCTTTCAAAAGTGAAGGAAACTAGAACTGGTAAACTGCTGATCAGCCCGCCCAGGAATGATGCGGTGATTGAACTGTGCTCTGGTAAATTCAATATGGCTTATTGTTGTGATCCCGAGTATAAACTACCAACACCACTACCAAGGCAACACTTAAAGGAGATGAAAATTACTTAAAGGAGATCAAAACGTCCTTTTAGACAAGTGGTCCTTATTTGAGGGTTACTTTGTTCTGATTAATGAACAGATTAAAAAAACTGGTCTTTATTTAGAGCGTGTTCTTCATTAAGAGATGGTCTTTAACTCAAGTTTGTCTGTAACTGATAAAAAGTTTTGATATGTTTGAGCAAAAGATTAGAGCCATTCTAAAGGAGAGCTCTACTAAGGTCAAATAGGTGTTAAAGTATTAAATTTTTAAATTCTTACATAGATAAACATTGGTACTTAAAATGATAAAAAATAAACAATAGATTTAAAAAAAAAATATTGGAATATTGGTTAAGTCAAAATATTCATAGACATGCTTAACAGTAGCTCTGATTATATGGTTTTGTTTATCTATAATCAAAATTGTTTAATGTCTCATTATAGATGACTGTGCCATTCCAATACGAATGGTTGAATGAATTATTCCGGGAGCTTGCAACAATCATGTTTTTCATAATAACGGGTTACAAGTTTAAACCTGCGGCTGACAATCCGTACCTGCGGGTCCCGACGGAGGAAGACGAGGAAATGGAGATGGATGAAGTGTAAATATCTAACATTTTATTCTAATTTATATCCCCACAAACAAGGTTTAGGGGGGTTGGGTACATAGGAGTCAGATTGTTGATTGGTTAGTTTGTCCGTATGTCGGTTCACATCCTGGTTTCTAGACGATAACTAGAGTTTGGAATGAGTTATTGTAATCAAACTTGGTATATAGCATCCTTATGTAGAAAACCTAGTTGGTATTGCATTTTGACTCCTGGGGTCAAGGTCACTGTTACTAAAAATAGAAAAATGGTTTCCGGACAATAACTAGAGTTAGGGATGAGATATTGTAATCAAACTTGGTGTGTAGCAAACTTATATGAAGAGTCAATTTGTTATTGCGTTTGGACCCCCTGAGGTCAAGGTTTCTGTTACTAAAAATAGAGAAATGGTTTTCAGACAGTAACTAGAGTAAGGAATGAGATATTGTAATTAAACTTGATTTATAGCAAGTTTTTTTTTTAATGAAGATCCCGTTTTTGATTGCAATTTATTTAAATATAATTTTTTGTACACATTTGATACTTCATTTACAATAGGTTGAGTTAAAGTCTTTTTTCAGACCACTTATTTTTCAAAAAGTCAAAGTTGCTGGTTGGGTTAATAATCCCCTTCAGTGATAGCTCAATTTTATTCTATTTTTGACTTACTGGATGTGATGCGTACATTGCTTAAATAGACACATAAGTTTATAGTTCATGTTTTTGTTCACTACAGACAGGTAAAAAGATGGACAAATCCATCTAAAATACTTAGTGTTGTATATAAATATCTTAGATATTGATTTTAGATTGAAATACAAACCCTGGAATTATCCATAATAATGCATCTTAACTTAATGATAACTGGACATGATGATGACTATACATGTAATTATCTTGATTTATTTGGTAACTTTCAGAATAATCGGAAAATCGGCATCTTTGGACACATTAAAGAAGGTGAATCAAGGTAACCGTGACGAAAGTACAGGACCAAAACTACGAGAAAGCAGTCACGAGTATGATTGACATAAACTGTCACCATCACGTGTTTGACTGACATAAATTTTCCGGTCTCTTATGTGTGATTGACATACATTTTCCAGTCATATTATGTGAGATTGACAGAAACTTTCCAGTCATTTATGTGTTGTTGACATAAATTTTCCGGTCACTTTTGTGTGATTGACATAAATTTTCCAGTCACTTATATCATAGACATAAATTTTCCATGTAATAAACAATGAGTGATATGTGTAAATTTCTAAATTATCGTTATGTGGTATTATAAAGTATGGTGGAGCAGAAAGGACAAAAATAACAAGAAATTTATTTATTATATTTATAGAGCAGTATTATGATGTACATATAGACAATATTTAATATACTATGAAACTGTTGTAAAAATATCAGATCACCAAAATTTATGACCAATATGTGATACGATATGTGCATTTATTTTCAAAATTTTTCTATGAAAAGTAAAATGAAGTATGGTGAAAAAGAACGAACATGAATGAAAAGAACTTTATTAACTTTCAAAGGGACAAGAATAATATCATTTTGTTATTAATGTAAGAAATTGTGTGCTCAAACATAAAGTTATACATATTGACTTATATCCAAATGACCAGTCTTTTATTGTAATGATCACTCCTCTCTTGAAAATAGATTATACTGAAAGTTTATATGCATCCAGATATCACCTTTTACGATCCTTAAAAAAATGTTTTTTTTTTAGTTTGCTATTTGACTTACAGATAATGTATAGGTAACTATAAGTCTGAAAGATGTAATATGAGTTATAATGTTTAAACTTTCGCATCAAAAAGTTCTAACATCATCACCCTGTTACTGTTAGAAAGAATACTACAGGAATGAAATGAGCCATGTTTTACCTTCAATCTGTCACAGCACTGCTTGGTTAATGTTAGAGTTTTAATTTTGGCGCCAAAACAGCGAAAGATATGTCTTACTGGTAGTGTGTGGACATTAAGTGAGCATTTTACTAATGACTGTCCCTTTATGGAATTACCCTTCCCAATAGCTTAAAAATCCAAATATTAAATGTCCCACTATTCCCAACGGAGGTGGCGTCATGATGCATTAAGAAATGCATTCACATTTTGCGTGTACAATTTTAAACTGTATAAGAGTGGTGATATTGTTTAATGTAACAAAGTTATGTAGTCTTATGACTCTTATAAATATTTCATATATTGTAAATTTAGAAAATTTTCAATTTATTGTCAAAAGTTTGTATGTTTTTCTCTTCTACTCTTTTTTTAGCTCACCTGTCACAAAGGGACATGGTGAGCTTTTGTGATCGCTTTTCGTACGGCGGCGTGCGTGCGTCCGTCCGTAAACTTTTACTTTAAACAACATCTCTTCATAAACCACTAGGCCAATTTCATCCAAACTTCACAGGAATGTTCCTTTGGTAGTCAACTTTAAAAATTGTTCAAAGAATTTAATTCCAAGCAGAACTCTGGTTGCTATGGCAACCAAAAAAAACCCCACAAAATATCTTCTTTTAGAAAACCGCAAGAGCTAGAGCTAAAATATTTGGCATAAAACATCACCTAGTCGGTGTCTACCAAGTTTGTTCAAATAAATGCCCTGGGGTCAAAATTCGCCCTGCCCTGGAGGGTCATTGATTGCCTTATTTGTGTATAGTAAAAACTTCAAAAATCTTCTTTTAACAACCCCAAATAGCTAGAGCTTAAATATTAAGCATGAAACATCTTCTAGTGGATGTCTACCAAGTTTGTTCAAATAAATGCCCTGGGGTCAAAATTGGCTCTGCCCCTTGGGGTCATTGATTTCCTTATTTGTATATAGTAAAAACTTGAAATATTTTATTTTAGAAAACCGCAAGAGCTAGAGCTTAAATATTTGGCACTAAACATCAACTAGACAGTGTCTACTAAGTTTGTACAAATAAAAGCCCTGGAGTCAAAATTGGCCCCGCCCGAGGGGTCATTAATTTTCCTTATTTGCATGTAGTAAAAACTTAAAAAAATTTCTTTTAAAAACCCCAAATAGCTAGAGCCTAAATATTAAGCATGAAACATCTTCTAGTGGGTGTCTACCAAGTTTGTTCAAATAAACGCCCTGGGGTTAAAATTGGCCCAGCCCCGGGGGGGTCATTGATTTTCCGTATTTGTGTATAGTAAAAACTTAAAATATTTTATTTTAGAAAACCGCAAGAGCTGGAGCTTTATAGTAAAAACTTAAAATATTTTATTTTAGAAAATAGCAAGAGCTGGAGCTTAAATAATTGGCATGAAACATCTTCTAGTGGGTGTCTACCAAGTTTCTTCAAATCAATGCCCTGGGGTCAAAATTGGCCTCGCCCTGGGGGGGGTCATTGATTTTCCTTATTTGTATATAGTAAAAACTTAAAAAATCTTTTTAAAAAAACCCAAATAGCTAGAGCTTAGATATTAAGCATGAAACATCTTCTTGTGAATTTCTACCAAGTTTGTTCAAATAAAAGTCCTGGGGTAAAAATTGGCCCCGCCCCAGGGGGTCATTTATTCTCATTATTTTGTAAAAACTTAAAAATCTTCTTTTAAAAAACCAAAAGAGCTAGAGTTTAGATACTAAGCATGAAATATTTTCTAGTTAGTGTCTACCAAGTTTGTTTAAATAAAAGCCCTGGGGTCAAAACAAAATTGGCCCCTCCATCATGGGGGGGGGGGGGTGTTATTGTTTTTTTCCTATATGTATATAGTAAAAACTTAAAAAAAACTACTCATAAAAACCCCAAAGAGTTAAAGCTTAGATATTTATCATGAAACATCTTCTAATGGCTGTCTACCAAGTTTGTTCAAATAAAAGTCCCTGGTTTAAAATTGGCATTGGCCCAGGGGCCTATATACAGGTGAGCGATTTCAGGGCCATGATGGCCCTCTTGTCTTTTTGATGTATTGCTATTAAAGATCCTGTAACATATTATTTTTTTCATGGTTTTATTTCATAAATATGATGCTCAAGTTAAGATTTATCAATATTGTAAGTTCAAATAAGCATTATTTATAAAGATATTACCGAATTTAACATTTTATGTAAATAAAGGGAGGTAATTAGAAATTTATTTTCTATAAATTCTAAGTCAAATTTTCCAATAAGAAATGAATGCATATAATTTATTGATTAAATATAATGTGCACAAATATTTGCAGTCGCATTTTATATATTCTTCGATGTTTGAAAATTACTTTATTTGCATAGTAATATACAGATACATTTTTTTGCAAGTGTGGTATACACATAGTAACAATATCAATCACAAAACATACAGGATCTTTAATTCACATGTCAGTTAATTGTTTACTCATGTCACTGAGTAGGTGGTTCAGATTATTGACTTAAAACCACTTGCCTCTCACTGCTGTAGGTTTGAACCGCATGTTCAGATTCTTCATGTTGGAAAGCTATCCAGCTAGCCTACGGAACATCGGTGATGATTCTACTCAGGTGCCTATTTGTGCCTGAAATAATATAGAGAGGAGCACCTAAGGTCTTCCTCCACGAGTAAAGCTGGAATGTTTCCATATGACCTTTAATGTGTTGATGCGACTTTAAACCGAACCAAAAATAAATCATTGAGTAGTTTACACTGTTTACATGTGTCTGTCAAATTTTTTTACACATGGCATTAAAGTATGTACCATTTTTCTATACTTTGTACATACAGTAAGACAAATAGTTACTGTTCAAGATGTAACTTTGTGTATTTATGGACTTAAAATTTTTGTTAAATTAATGTCCTCTCTAAAAATAACATATTTAAATTTTAGAAAATACATGAATATAAGTAAATTTTTTAAAGAAGTTTTGAAATATAAATTTTGATCTAGATGCTCAATCTATCAATCCTTTATGAACATGGGACCTGGCTTTGAAGCCTTTAAACTTGTTTTCTGAGCTCAGTCTCAAATGTCAGGATGTTCGTTGGTCAGTATACAATCTGACAGGTTTCTGACCAGTCAAATAGCTGAGAGCTGAGGTTCAGCTGTGAAAATTTTTTATAAACTTTGTATAAATTTTGTCTAACATTTTTCTACAGAGAAGAAATATTAAGGTAGACATAGAAAATAAATTTGTGTATATATATATTTCTGTGTTTTTCGTGAATTGTTCTAGTCTTACCTTACAATCAAGATATTGCACATGGAGTTTTCAGGGTCATTCTTTCATAGGTCATGAGGCTTTATTAATACTTCAGTGATCAGACAATTTCATTTTATGCCTGGTATGTCGTCTCGTAAGGCAATTTGAAATCACTAGGAAATATTAAAACATTCAGTTTTAAATCAGTTCCTTTAAATCAATATATTATTGTTATATGTTTTATCTTATTATTTATAGCGAGCTCGAAGAGCTAGCCCGAACGGCCTGCTTGCAAAGCTAAATGCTGTCCTAACAGTATCTTATGTGGAATATAGGAAGTGGAATATATAATTTAGATATTTGAAGCGGACTATAAGATTTAGATTCATTACGTGGAATAAACAATTTAATCATTTTAGGTAGAATATTGGATTTAGATATTCCATTATTGTATATACATTGTATATAATTATGAATGCTTAATTGTACATATTAATTCAACTAGATTATTATTATTGAAGATTTGTAAATTATTGTTTTTCTTATTGATAAGCATGTGTCCAGTCTATCCAGTATTATCCAGTAAGAAAAAACTTGTAGTAACATGCGATCAAATTCAAGTAATTTTGTTGGCATACAATTCTGTGTTTTATGTCAAAAAGAGGACATTTTCGTTTATTTTTAAATTTGATGATAGTTAGTGTAAATGCAAATAATGTTATATGCAAAAATAATCTTACATCCCATGATGAAATGAAATTTTGTTGGATCTTAAATTCGTGAATTACCTGATATAGAAACTACAAAACGTAAGTACCCCTGAAATGATGATGATTTTACAGTACTTGCAAATACATAACCTAACTGGTAAAATAATTTTTCAAACTCTTCATGAAAAATTAATTTCTCATCTAGAAGCATGTACATCGTAGGTCTGATACTAGTTATTTGTTTAGTAAATTTTACTTGGATAAGAACAAAGCTTTGTAGTCAAAGTTTGTCTTATCCCACTGAGCATAATTATGTCTCCCTAAAAATAGGAAAATCTTGTCTGGCCTTCACAGGTCAAACTTCTGGTGGGATTTCAATGAAACTTTGCAATAGTGACCATACATAGTTTTGGGAGACATATGTTTTTGTGACAAAAACCCTTCTAGTTATCGAGTAAAGAACAACTTTGACTATGCTTATAAACCAATTGCTATACTGGTTTTGATCAGGAGACATACTGTTTTTTTGTATTTTTTGTTTGATTGCACAACAGGATTGATAGATTCCTACTATGACCTTTAATTTGAATATCAATAGATTTAGCCAAAAACATTGTCACGTGCTCTTTTGTGAAGAAATTCTTTTTGTAATCAATTAATCTGATACCTAGAATTAGACAGGCTAGGGATCATACATTAGGTTTATAAAATATTAAAAATGACAAAGACAAACAATATCTTTCTGAAAAGTGGTCATGGTCAGCTATGACAAAGAAATGATGTTTTATCTTGATCTGTCTGAAAGGCCATTCTTCTTAGGTTTATACAGCTTAACCAGGGTTATAAGGTTTTAATATGTTATATACTAGAATTTTCATATGCAAGCATATCTAAACAAGAGCCTCATTTTGATATATTTAAATATGACCTTGTTCCTTAAATAATGTTGAACTTTCTCATAAGTTCACGTTTGCTATAAATTCAGGAAATTGTGATTGAATGTATGGGAAGAGATTGGTGATTAATGTAGACATCTAAAATGTTTTTAAATTTAACCAGAATTAAGTGACAATAACTGTTTTTATAAGGTGGAGCAGTTAGTTCTGTAAGCTTAGCTTTAGATGTGTACAATATTAGTGTTATCCACACGCTTGAGTAATACCAAATGTATCCACATACTGAATGGTGTTATACATGTATCAGTTTTATTGACACACTTACTGGTGTAATATCAGTTTTATTCACAAAGAGATCATGATATAAAGGTGACACCCTGACCTAATATTTGTAAATTGTATCTGTTGTTATTTCTTTATAAACTTATTGTTATCTTCTTGCTTCTTCTATCTCTTGATTAAAATTGTAAAAATTATCCGGCTTTATTGTTCTTAATATTTTAATACTTTTCCTGATTTTCATTAAAGCTCTAAGGATTGCTACAGGAAAAAAAAATTAGAAAATTGTCTATTTTAGACCCATTGTTCATGACCCTGTTGAGGTCAATGTAAGGTAGATGTCAATATAAGATAAATGAGAACAAAAGATGATTATATTTCTCTTATTTATTTTCAATTTAAAACCAAAAATAAATTACAAGTATTTATAAATGTACATAATATTATTATATGCTCATGAATTACAAGAAAATAGATGATGTTGCAATTATCAAATTGGCCATTAAACATCATTTTATCAACTTTTGAAAACAAAAAACTTTTCTTAAATTTACCCAGCATACATGTTGTCATATAATAATAACATTTTTTATGACAATAACAATATTTTAAATATTTTTACAAAGTAAACCAGCTTCTCTGCTACTTGAAATACATTTGTATGTCGTTATGTCAGAAAGATATTTCGAAGTTTTATGTTCATACATCAATGATCATATCCACTAAAAGGAATGCTCTTCACACAAAAAAATAGTATGAACTATATTACAAAGGACAATAACTAAAAATATGCAATCAAAAGAACTTTATGCATGTTGTATACTGCATATTCCTCAATAAGATATATCTACCCTGAATACAGTTCATGTCAATATCTCCAATTGTGTACAAGTTGTGTCATGGGAAAAAATAAAATATGAACAATATTACAAAGAAAAAATAATAAAATAATTAAGGTGGCGGCGTTGCCACGTGGTTCACTTGTCGGACTAGTGCTCTAACCATAATCAGGAGCATAAGGTTGTTTCCAGAAGCAAAAAGAACTTTCTTATACACTTCAGTTTACTTAATGAGATTCTTAACTGCATTACTTAACTAAAATTAACCTCGGGACTAAACGAAATATGAAAAAATACGACATACAATAGTTCCAAACATATGAATAAGAAAGTAGCGAGTCTAAAGAATCTTCAGAACAGCACTCTTCCTCAAGGAGATAGTTATGTTTATCTATTTAGTTTTATTATAATACATCCAACAAATTCTTTTCAAATTATTTTCTCCTAAAAGAGTACAATGTCCAATTAATCTTAAATATAAATAGTTATGATTTTTGGCCATTGAAGCTCATCTTTATGATTTTATTAATATATACATGTATTACGTTTAAAGTTAATACCTCTTATTACATTCTACATACGAAAAATATCAATCATTGAACATTATACAAATTCCTAATAGGAAAGCAATATATGTATACAAATAGAAATCAGAAAAAGTAATAAAAGTACATCGCTCAATTGAAACCCAATGCTGTTCAGAACAATGAATAAAAGTTTATATATAATACCACATACAAATTATCTTAACTCTTAGCCTTGACCTTTAAGAGGTGACTAACTTTGAAGATGGTCCTAAAAGAAATAATATAGAAACCGGGGTGGTGTCATATCGGACAGTAAATTTCATCAACTTTGGAAGATCTAAATGCAAGCAATATTCTATGAAAAGTTAATCAAAGTTGACCGAACAGTTTAATATTAAGCGTCATTTAAATTAATGGTAGACAATGGACTACTAACGATCCTAAAAGTTCACCATAAGTATCATATGCTCAGATGAAAACAGGCAATACAAGTTAGCAATAATTTTTTATGAAATTTACATGTTCCAATCAATTCAAAAACAAACATTATGCTTTTTTTCTTCTAAATTTCTAAAAGTTGCCTCCGCTTTAGGCGAATGTAAATTAAACTCAAAATGGGCACAATTTATTGAAACACCTGGCATCTGTTACACACAAAACATCTTTATAACCAAGTTTGTAAATAAACACACAGGGCACATAACATAACATATTCATAACTTAGTTTGCTTGAAATGTCTTCCTCAGCAACGATATAACTCAGACTAACTAATGGGTACAAAGATATTACATTGCTGTTAAAAATTACAGTAGTTTGATTTATGTAAAACATTTTTAACAAGTTTAAAATAACAGTAAATAAACCATAAGTATGCGATAATGACTAAGTGTTACTGCTGGTATATAATTTAGCATTATTCTTGTATAAACATCGAACTACATAGTGTTCAATTTGTACTATCTCAAATAGAAATAAGAAAATTAAAACTATATACAACAACAAATAATAGCATATCAAATATATAACTATGCATCAATTAATAGATAAATAAAACCTTTTTTAACGACAGTAATTATAAAATGACGCGACTTTTGACGTCATAGTAACATAACACTAAACTTTTTGAAAAAGGAAGAAAAAATACAAAGATCATCCTATGGTGGCATATTTCTGCCACCAGATAACCATATAACTAACTAGATTACCTACTTGTTATTAACTAGTTTGTTATGTGGTTAACTAGTTACGTAACTAGTTAATTTTTTCAATAAATAAAAGTTCATAACGGGAAATACATGCATGTCTTTTAGTGCCTAGTAACCTAGTTAACCTCATAATTAACTAGGAGTTTTATATACCGCTACAGTTCCCTGTTGGAAAAGGTGATGGTATAAAACTCCAACTCATACAAAAAAGGTCAACTTAAGTACTGTTACAATGTGTTCTAAAATATAAAATCAAACAATACTAGACAATAATTAAATATTTCATAATGTTGACTAAAGGCAAAATCATTAAAAAATTTAGTCAAGCTGAAAATATTTATTAATATCATAGATTGAGAAAAAAAATGCAGCTTGGCTGTGACTCAAAAGAAAAAAAAGACCGTCAGAATACCATGTCTCATTAGCACTACCGTATGAACCCAAAATCCTTTGAATACCATACCGCATCTCTACCGCCTAAACGGTTAAAACATGTGTTCTCCTAATATGTGATCTGCGCAATACATTATCATAGTCCCCCACTTTGTTAAAATATACCCTTAAAGCATTGACAAACTGACAAAGTGAAATGTCTTGAAGTTATATACAGTCATGGCCCCATGTTAGCTCCCAACAGTAACTGTGTTGCCTGACTAAGGCTCAAACCTGGGAGACTGTGACACTTTGAATACCATTCCGCAGCTTTACCAACTGAGCTATAAGGTTTCTTACACATAATTTTACCTAATTATTGAACGTTTATACTTTGACATCCCTGATATATTGAACTCCACAGTTTTATAATGAGTATAAAGAACACTTCTTAGCTATATACCATGACCCTACAGTTTGCGCCACATTTGACAGGTTGAGAAGCCGTGCAGTCTGACTGAAATCAAACCCCGGACAATCAGAATACCATATGGGGGCAATACTGACTGAGCTTTCTCAGGCTATCTCACATTCCCCCTTCCTACCCATCCCCAGTTTGAGAACAAAAAATATTTTGTTCGCCCAATTTGCCTTTAAAACCCAAAATGGTATGTGCAAAACTCCTGGATCTGCATCATAATTTTGTTTACCTAGCAAGCTCCAGTGAAGCAAGTATGTCAGGCGGGGATTTAAGGACTATAACTTATGATTAAGTCATGTTTTTCTTTATTGAGACGCTGTAGTAAGATTATTTTCATTTCATTCATCTAGAACAACTCTAGATATACAACTGTAAATCCCGAGTATTGTACAAATCATCAACATGAATTATTCGTCACTATTAATTTAATTGTAATGTAAACTAAAAATCATTCAGCTATATTTGAGAATGAAGACAGATCACAAGGCACGTCGAAATTCAATATTTTGCAGTCTCAGTCTAATCGTGCATGATATGTTATGATACACGCTACTACAAATGTCTGTAACAGCAGATTTCAATTAATGCATAACTGATATGATTTGGAATTGATTAAGAAATCTAACATTTGTAGATAAGATTATTTGCCGGTAGGCATATATTTTTTTCATTCTGACACATTCATATCTAGTTTAAGTAAACTAACAAAACCTTGAAATGGGTTTCAATGTAATGATATTTACAATTTTACAGCATCATTTCAACACATAAAATTACGATCTACTTACCCTAACGATAAGTGTATACTATTCAGGAATCAATATCACTTAGTGTGGTGGCTGATTTTGTACGCTTTTGTGCATCTAATTGGCGTTAGCGACAACACAACAAAGTGCCAAACGGCGCGTTGTCGGACTTTTGTCTTATCCTTTTGTCGCTAGCGACAAAACGTCAAACTGTCATATTGTCGCCAGACGGCGCGTTGTCGTGCGGCGCGTGTCACTTGGCTTATAAGCCAATCCTTCAATTTGAACCGAGCGACAATGTGACATCGCGACAACATGTCGCACAACAACGCGCAGTTTGGCATGCCGCGCTAGAGACAGGACGACAATACAACAGTGCGACAATGCGCCGTTTGGAGCTTTGTCGTGTTGTCGCTAGCGCCCACGCGACGCACAAAAGCGTACCAAATCAGGCACCATACTTAGACCTAAGTCGTGTCACATGATAGCCGAAAATTGAAATATATATATTTTTCTCAAATTAAAGTCTGGGGAAAAGTGCATCGACCTGCAATTTACTAACAAATGGTCAAACAACGCTACTTTGAAAAAATCTAAAGTTTTCTTACGTCGGTAACAGGAAACATAAATTTACTCAAACATAAGAAAAACTCTTAATGTCAAGAGTTAAACTCAAACCAAGCAAGTTTATAGACATTCATTCACAGTTGAGTAGAAGCAAGTTTTAATTCATAAACTTGTCAACAGATATGTTTAAGATTCGTCCATTTCTTCCGTTTCTCTGAACTTTTTTAACTCCAATGTTTTATCCATTTTATGGCCCAAAATCTGCAAGATATTATTGATAGGTGTGACAACTGCTGTCATATCTCTACATACACCAATAAGCATTCCAATACAATGCAAACTATCTTTATTATCAACCAAAAACACACCAGAGCCAGAGTCGCCAGCTTGGGTGAATACTTTTTTGTAATAAGAGTCAACCATTATCTGGCTACATATTGGAAACGATTCCCTACTCCCATTGTATAATGTTTCTAATGGAGAATACTCCACTGTTTCCCTAACACATCCATCTGTTGTTAACAGAGTTCCTTTTGTAAGAGAGGTTCTATAGCCAATCTTGATAATACTTTGCCTGGCTAGATCTCTCACTGTTAAAGTTTTTGCATCAAGAATCTTTCCGTCGTTGTATATTGGTTGTTTCGTTAATCCTATATAAAGGGATGAAAATACATATTGTTGTCAATATTCGAAAAAGGAAACAAAAAACACATTTTTTAACATTTTGAAAATATTTGAACGGAAAACTGTACGTTATTGATCGATGTGATTCTATTTCTGTATATTTTTTTTTCAACGGTTTTTGCATAAATAAATGCAAGGGGTAATGATAATTCGAAGTGATATTATTCTCATTGTCATGTTGAGGTCTTTTTCAAAAGAATGGCTGTTATGAATGATGAATGTCCTACAGTTTATAATGTTTTGGATAAAATATAAATCTACTTAAAGTATGTAAAGACTGTCAATTAAACGTTACAGGTGAATTTCGATCGGTATATATTATAAAGAGAAAATAAGAATTCATAAATAAAGACCAAAACCTCAAAATTGTAAATGTTGCTGGCGGTAGTGGTAATTACAGGCACCGACTTAAGCATAAGTCAACATTCAAACATCATAATGGTCAAATTTTGAGATTTGAAACATCCACAGACGTGTTCATATGGCGGTTATTATGGAACATTCAAGGTAACACGCTTGTGCTATTCCATAAAAAGCGGCATATGGTTCCAAAGTAAAAAAATGGGATTGCCCAAAACGAGAAAAAATGGGCTGAACCTAATAATAAATGTAATTTTGAAAGGGGATCAGAGGTAATGAACCCTGCATATTACAGATAAGCTGTAAAACGAGAAAGTTAAAAAACAGACACCATATCCTAAGGTGATTCAACATTTTTCAAGTGAGGAAAATTGGAACCACCCGACTAGAAAAACACCTAATTGGAAAGAACTTAAAGTACCAAAAGATGCACTCACAACAATTATGTCGTGCTGAACGATCTTAAAGGATCGGAAATATAACATCTTTGATGAAGTGTACGGGAAAACTTTTTACAGCAGCCACATGGCATTAATAACACTGATGTATCAAGATAATAGAGAAAAACAGAAACTCAACACAGCTACATTGAAAATGTTACAGACTGGGTTTGATTCAACCTTTTCATAGACTTTTCCTTACACCGTATATTTAATACAAAGAGTAAATGATAATATTATAAGGAATTATGGCAATAGTTTGCCTTATTTTGACTACTACCTTTTCCTTGGCTATATAACCTTAAAGGTACTCCACTGAGGTCTTTTTGACATGATGGGACTGAAAATATCTTTTCCAGATGAATGTACCATTTGATGGAGGTTTAGACCACAAATCTTTGTGTAAATTTTAGGATCATTTTTCCAGAATAATTATTCAAATTGTAAAAAATGACCCAAAATGAAAAGCATTTAAATGCTTTGCTAAGAAAAGCATTCAAGTACGATTTTCAATTGTTTTCAAAGAATATGTCTTAACTATCTTTGCCTATATATTCTGTTTAAAGTGCCCCAGCTCGATTATGTAAGAAATTAAAATATTACGTTTTAGGCTTTTAAACCTCAGTGGAGTCCCTTTAAATGGGCATAATCTAATTTTAAAGGAAACTAAATAAAAATGTTGTTGATTTTGGTTTAATCATAAATTACCTGCTAAATCTAAATCTTCTTTTGTCAACTGTATAAATTGACCACTTGTCGGTAATCTTTCAGGGGATATCTGAACTAAACTAGCATCGATCTGCTTCCCATCCTGACTCTCAATTACCATTCCGCAGTGTCGATTAGGCAACCCAACTGCACCGGGTATTAAATGAACATCAGCAGGCTGAACGACATTTACTCCCTTAAGGCTTTCATTACTTCTGGAAAGAGGAGCAAATGCATGTCTAGCTGTCAGAAAACAGGTTGTGTTTGTTTCCTTAATATTAACGAATGGCCCTAAAGTCGCAGCGAGATTCCCACCAACTTCTCCGATACTACTTCCTAATGCTAGTTTTTTGTTGAAACCGGTACTGTGACCTGAACGAAAATGGCAGGTTGAGAAAAATCCGTCCCGAACATCAGTTCTAAATGATTTTTTCTTCAACGGATTATTCAGCGTCCGAGGAAAACAAACATCTCCAAAAGGAATATACCCCTTGGCTTTACAATATAAGACTATGCACAAATTTGAGTGTACCAGTTGTATGTCTTTGTGCTGGACAAAACTAACTTTCACCGCTTCTAAATTTCTATGAGACGTCATGAGAGCTTCTGCGTGGAATGACAGCGTTTCATTTATATCTTTAAAATCGTCTTCTAATGCCTTAACTATTGTATTTTCTTCTATGTCGCATGCATTTCCTGCTAACAGTGATTCTTTACTGATGTTGTTATTATATCTTTTTAAAAGATGGAATCCGTTGAAGGAATCTATCTGAAATTCATCGCTTACGAAACAAATCAGTAGAATCGCCCCATCGTTCATTTCTGAAGGATAACATTCTGATACAGAACTGTGTGTTTTAACAAGTTCATAGCAAATCAAGTCTAACATTATTTGTTTCACGAATGAATTACTTCTTTCAATTTCAATATCTTCTTTGTCAAATGTAATTTTCCCTAGACGCGGACCTAAAATGCGAGCTCCAAAACGGCAATAGTCCCCTTTTGACTCTACAGAACGCCTTATTTGTTCAATCTCTTCCTTTTGAAGTTGAACGTTAATAACTTTTTTTCCAAAACTCATGTCACACAAACGTAAAAACTCAATATGATTTGCTTTAGATATGTTACACGCAAAATGCTCATATACATTGTAGTAAAAGATATGACTTGGTGATTCAAAATGTATAGTAAGAGTAGTCACATTTGGCGTAAAAATGTTTTCTGTTAAAGGATTCGTAAAACGTGGAGGTTCTGATATCTCTAAATGATTTGCAAAGTGTATAACCTGAAATTTGTGACTGCATCTGTGAAATCTTATGTCTTTTATATCTCCTGGAACGCATATTTTTGCAGTTGAATTTATCGGATGAATATCCACAAAACAAATTTTTGTTATTGCGTCCCTTTTCTTCTCTGATACTATTTGATCGATTCGTCTGCTCAATTCGTGTCCATCTATCACCACATTCAAGTGCTTACTATACACATACAATGCATTAATTGCAGCAGCAATGAGAACAACTTCAATATTTAGTTTCAAATCATCTACAACCTGTTTGTCAATATTTGTGATAATGATAAACGAGCATGTTTTTAAGTTACAGGAACAGGCCAAATCATAAATTGCTTTCAATTTGAAATGATCTTTGTCAAAATATTCAAAGATAATGAGAATTTGTTGACTGTAATACATTTTTTTCATTTCAAATTGGTTATTCAACATTGTTTTTAAATCAGAAACATCATCAAAATATCGTACTTTTAACCAGAAAACACCTTCCAGAGTATTCACGTCCATGGGGAAGAAAGTGTGGTTTACGCCAAAGTTTAACCAGGAGCTTACAATAAAATTTGCTGATGATGTTGTGTCTTCTGCCAATAGAAGAATCGGCTTAGAACGCCGAATGTCATTGTATGGGTATTTATGCATCTGCAGACTTTCAGTCATTGACTCATTTTGATTCATGACTGTGACTTCTTTGTTAGTGATATCTAACTTTCTAAACGTCGGGCAGATTTCTAATGATACATTTTGAGATCCCTCTAAATCGCTGTAGAAATTGTAAAACGTTGCTGACTCTGAATAAAATCTTTCCAAGTATTGTCTCAAATCTAGAAAAAAATATATATAGAACATGTAACAGATATGATAAGATAATTGTGAAAAGATTGATTCTTACTGTTAATTCCAAACCAGTGTTTTTCTTAAACAGGTTATGGCTTAGTTTTCGCAGATAACTGAAGCGTTCGTGTAAGTATCGTATAATTCAAAAATGTAAAAGCAGAACATACATACATGCATATCATTAAGCTTTAACTGAAAGGAAAATTGGAATGTTGATTGTGCTTGTGACTGTAGGAATTTGGTTATCATATGTTATTGTGCAGAAGAGGTTTCAACATCACCGTGAAGCTGTGCACCTGGGATTTTTTTGATGTGGATTTTAAGAGTTGTTGCATTTGACGAAGCATAAATCATAGACTTTTCCATGCATAGCTCAAAAGTGTTTGACCTGAAGCCCTGAAGGTATACACGACTATTGGCCAGCATGTGAAGTTATGCACTTTGGGGTTGGCTTGCATATTTATGCAATATTTGTAGTGTTTTCGTTATTAACTCAGAAAACAGTTTTCAGTTTTAACTTATGCGTGTTAGCCAGTAAAAATTTACCTAGATTCAGCAGATTGACAAATCAATCACATTTCTAGTTTTTTATGTTATCATTTGCTCCCCCCTATAAACCTGGTAAGTGCTTGTTTATGCTGATATCTTATATGAGAATTATAATAAATACTAAATAGCTATACTTTATGGAATAGAACAAATATTTGTTTAATATTCTATGTTTCTGACATTATTATCATATCTGTTTTTTAGTGTTTTTTTTCTGTTTGTTTCTTATTTGGCACGAGCTGACATCTGAGTAGAACCACATCATAATGTCAGCCATATAAAAACTATTTGGCACGAGCTGACATCTGAGTAGAACCACATCATGTTGCCAGCCATAAATATACTATTTGGCACGAGCTGACATCTGAGTAGAACCACATAATGTTGTCAGCCATAAAGAAACCATTTGACACCTCAGTAGAACCACATTATGTTGTCAGTCATGTAAATTAAACTATTTGGCATAAGCTTATATCCTAGGAAAACCGCGGACCTTCCTAAGCTAACTTTTACCATTTTTTATTGTTTTGAACTCAAAATTCCACTCCCTGTTGTCGTCTTCGTCAGAGTAGTAGTGGTAATAGTTGTCTGCTAACACATGAAAAGTTGGTGATTTCCGAATTTTTTCTATAACACGGTCATATTGTCTTCTCGGCTTAATGGCGGCCATCTTTACTGTAACTGACTGGGGCAGTTTTTGAAGCTCGGTCATAAAGTTTTGTAAACCTCCTGTAGACATGTTTATATCCTCCAACTTCACACGTTCAATACATAACATGTCACCTGACAGAAACAATGAACTTTCTTCTTCATTTGTCCATGTTACATGCTCCAAAGTTACGACCTGTAAACTGGGAAACAAAATCCGATTTATCTCAGCCTCCTTCTCCACGTCACCACAATAGTGAAGTTTCTGTATATGACTGAGATCTGTGAGAGAGAATAAAACTATAATTTCACGTAAACTGCTGGAAGTATCGCTGATGTCTATATAAAGTGATTTTATGTTGGTTTTATTTTGTTTTAATAACCGTTGTAACTGCTTACTGTGCACGGTGTTCCCGTCAATGAAGAAATCCTGTATACATAATAGAATATTTTCACTGTTAGGCATTTGTTGTAAACACGACATGAACATTTTCTGTATGTCATGCAATCGAGTATCTTGCACTTTCTTGTCACCTGTCCTAGTTCTATAGTCGCGTGTTTTCTCGTCTTCATTTATCACAGACATCAAATCATTTGATATTGCACAAATCCGGTCAGCATTCATTCCACTTATAAATTCAAAGAGTTTTGACATGTCCAGAATGTCTTGAATACTTCTACATTTTTCTAGAACAATTTTCTGATCGTAACTTTGAGAACTAATAAATATGGCAGCAAAGAATTCTTGAACTGTTTTGTGAGAAAACGATACTTTGATAATTTCTTTGAGTAAAGTTTTACTTCTACTTTCTGACAATATTCCTGAAAGAAGACTTAATGTCATGTCGTTTGCTTTGAGATATTTTTCAGCAACCGTTCTATCAAATACAAACGTATTTTCTCTGTTTTTGTTAAATAATGTTTGGTGAGCTAGTTCTGCTAATGATGTTATAAGACTGTAAAACCTTTTACAAAATTCATGACGTTTCAAGTATTCTGGAATTTCACTGGCAGACGATTCACGAGAATATTGAAACTCCGGGTGTTTCTTTGACATTCTCGATAATAGAAATTCAACGATATTTGTGTAAACCTCATGTATTGAATTTCCTATAGGGATGTTGTTACACCATAGGTTAAGTATGTACATAAGGAGGAGTGGAATGACTTGCATGTGCTCAAGGCCAAGTTTACGTATCACTCCGTTAAAATCCTGTGTTTTACTCTTCAGTACGCTATCGTCATGGACACCTTTCATTTCCCTTATAGCATTTTCTTCTAGTTTTAGCACAGAGTCTTCACTTAATTGAGCCAATTCTACGTTTTGGTTTATTTGACTTTTTGTGAGATTTGAAACTCCGAGCTTCCACGGTTGAGTTGTCGTAAGGATAACGCAATTGTCACGTTCGCACCGATGTGGGATTTGTTCTGTTACTTCGTTGCAGTTGTAATAAGGGTGAGTCCATTCATTAAGACCGTCCAATATAATTAAGCATTTTTCTCTACGTAAAACTTCATTTAGTTTTGCTCTACATGAATTTTCATCTAGTGATTTCAATGAAGGAAGATGCAACGAAAATTGCTGTCTAATCATATCGTCAATGTGAGAAACAGAGGTATGATCTCTTAAGAAAACCAAAAATAAGAACTCAAACTTAGATAGAGCTTTTAAATTATTATCCTTAAAACACTCATTAACATCGTATTGTTCGTCTGGACGATGAGCTTGACACCACGTGATTGCAAGATATTTTGAAAAAGCAGTTTTTCCAAAGCCTGTATCAGCTGATAGATAAATTTCTTGCTGATATGCACTTCCGGTTGAAAACAGGTCTTTCAAAGTCTTCATCGGAGTTCTCTCCTCTTTATGACAAGTAAGGGACTTATGTTTTACGGCGACTATATCTGGCATCACGTAGAACCCAGCTAGAGGTGTCTCTATTTCTTCAAGAAGTGGTGAGAGAGGTATTGAACTACACCTTTTCCTGTAGAATTCAATCAGGTCGCCTTGAAGTTCTGAAAAGTTTATCAGTGACAATCTTTCTATATAATATATAAAATGCTAAGGTGTTTAATAACTTTAGTTTTGCATGGTTTGGATCAGATAATGCATACGGCGAATAAGAAGGAGATAAATATGTAAAATATGATAAACAAGATCAACAAGGAAAAGCGGCGTTCAATGAACGCAGCCCCCACAGTTCATAACTATGCACTTTCAGTTTAAAGAAACATTTTCTAAACATGAAAGCAAACAGTATGAAAATTTCTATTTCATTCATAAAAACATTGTGTAAACCTACGCTTCAAACTTCGTATCCACACATGCGCGTGCAAGAATGAATGAATTACGACAGACTCTGTATAAAAATATGTCCAACATCCAAAATAAATATTAAATCAAACAAGTAAACATTATTTACTTTTAAATATACACTTGCATATTTTTTCTATTTCAAACTGTTTTAGAAAACGAGCATATACAGATATATATATATGTCTTATTTAGTGGTATATAATATTGTAAGCGTCTGTATGAATGGATTAAAGATACGTTCTGAAAACGTATTGTCATATAATTGCATATAATAGAACCCTATCAACATGGTGGCATCGGAGGAGTATGCAATTATTTGTTGCACACCTGCAGTGTGAAGTATTTCTGCCACTTTAGTGAAATATATCGCCAAAAAAACCATTTTCGGGAAGGGAAAGATTCGTACTCAATATTATTCGAACTAAGGATTCGTACTCAATATTATTCGAACTTAGCCTTCCTAATCGGTATTGTTCGAACTGACAATCATGGCAGATACGTTTAGACCCCTGGACATTTAGATGTTGAAAATAGTAACATATCACATAACTTTATCAAATGGAAGCGCCAATGGAAATTTACTTGATCAGTGTTGACTGCCAGTGGAAATGCTGAGAAAGATGAAAAGATACAAGTAAATATCCTATTACACTGTGCTGGACCTAAAGTTATCAATTTACATGGGCAAATGCAGAACATAAACTGAAAGTGAAAAAACTATTTGACAAAATAGCTATTGCAATCCTAGAAAAAATGAAGTGCTAGACTCACATATTTTGGGTAACAAATCCAGATGAATATACATCATTTGACAGTTTTCTTACATAGTTTTGAAAGCATGTTGAGTCCAGAAATATATTTTGAAATATGTTATTTACAATCAAATCACTCAGTCAGACTGAGCCACCCTTAACATTGTTTTCCATATCTCTTTAGACTATTGATATATATATAAGCCATATGTGAGCTTATGATTGCATGGGCAGTTAAATTAAAGCCATTAGTAAAAAAAAGGGTTGACCTGGGATAACCAAAGTGAAGAGTGAAATATGACACTCAACACCTACAGGTACATTCTAAATATTTAGATTGATGTTTATGACCAGATTTAGCACAAATAGTAATTTAAATTCCTCTGATACCACAAATATGAATTTATTTAGAGTCATGAAGATCTTTTTATGATGAAATCTTAACTGAAAAACCAGGTTAAACTGAATAGTTATAAAATTCCTTGCCACAATAACGAGAAGGTACATAAAGCCTGTCAAAAAATAAAAATTCTATCCATA